AGCCACCGGTGCTCTGTATCTGGATAGGTATGTTGATCAAGTCCAAGACTCAAAGACATACTTGAATCTAATTCAGCATAAAAAACTTCACAATCATTGTTTTGACTTTTGAGGTTCAATTAACACTAATTAGAAGAAGGCAGTTTGCCTATTCACAGCTTACATTAACATCATTTAGAATTGAGTCCCAACCTTATTCCATGTATTTCCAATCTTTTACAAAGTAAAAACCAAAAACTCTTTGCGTGGTTATTACTCACCATCTAGAAGATAATTGGAGCACAATAAGTCTCCACCAACCCGTTTTGACTTTGACTTCAAACGAAAGTTGGAACAGGATGTACTGAAATCCTAATATTGCCATAATTAAGGAAACTGGCAAGAAAAATCGAAATCATCCCCAATAGAAGTAATCTTAATGGATTGACCATTCAAATATTTGTGCAAAGAACCATTCAATAATGCCAATTAGTTTCTAAGAAGCAAGAGATCTTGACTTCAAGGTCTTCGCTAGACTATTACTTAAGCTCATGCTGCAATAAGAAGAAGAAAAAAAGAACTGAAAAAGATCTAAAGTATGCAAAAACTTAAAATATAAATGATAACTATATTTCTCGCAAATTGTTTAAATTTCAATAAAATTTTCTGTACCTTGGTTCAAATTCCCTGATTTCAGCAAGCTCACTACCACAAACATCTGTCCACTGCACTTTCCTTCGTTCAACCTGACCAGGTATATCACTATCTTTTTCTTCCAATGTTTCACAGTGATCAACATGTGTTGGGGTACAATTTGACTCAACAGTTGCTGGGATACCATTTGATCGCTTCTTCAAACTACTCTTCAGAGAAACCTTTCTTACATTAGCAGAATTACAATTACCACCACCAAGATCAGCTGGATTATCCTTGCTATTCTCAGAAACAAGGGACCCCGGTAAACCATCCTGCTGTTGTGCAGGGCCTACTTTCAGAGGAGATGGGCTATCGAGTCCAGCGGAAGCGCGACCAAAGCAGACAAAGGAGGCGCACCCGCGGGAAAGCCTGTTCTTAATGGAAGCCAGCTGGAGGTCAGGGTCTGGTTCTTGGTCCACCAACTGGTAATGGTTCCACGGTGCAATTCTCATGGGTCTGTCTTCATCCTTTTGACCCAAAAGAAGAAGGGTCAGACCCTTGCTATACCCAGATGCTGAAGAAGAGAAGAATCCTCCTCCTTCTACTGCTAATAACATCAGTTCTTCTCATCTGGGCACCCACAAAACATTTTCTAAATTGCTCCCCTCTCCTCGCTAGAACTAACACATCAAGCCCTTCATCCACCCACATCTCAAAGTCAGAAAATTTATTAAATTTAACTTAAAATTCAAATGAAAATTACAATAACAATAATAAATGAAAGTCCTTAACCACTGTAGATGTTGATCAACATACTTCAATCTTAAAGAATCTGATATAATCTATAAATGATCCAAGTACTAAACGGGAAAAAATCAGCATCGATATTCCAGTTCAAACCCATATTAAAATTCTATTCAAAAAAGATTTTAAAAAAAAATTCGCTTTAAGAATCAACACCGACATGCAAAGGAAGAATTCTTGTTTCAAGATCTGCATACTCTAAAGCATGGAATGCTCTGTTTGGTTGCTGAGAAAACACTAACAACTTACAGGGAAAGTTGACAGCAGAGAGTTCAAAAGAGAAATTTCAAACATCATAGTATTTTCTCGGGAACCAAATAGAAAAGCAGATCGAATTACCTGATAGCGATCACTCAGATCTGGGGGCAGAAAGAAAAAAGGACGGCAACTAAATGGGCAGCGCCGGCATGATAGATCGGAGATAGTGCACGAGTTAATCGTGGCGAGGAATTGGAGGAGAAGAAATACTCTGTTTGATAAAAATGAAAATGAAAAATGAAAAATCGGAAAAGGGAAAAATAGAAAGACCGTGAGATTTCTGGCCGAAATTATATAAAGTGAAGGATAGGGATAGTGACATCAATGGGCGCATGATAGTGATGGATCCCTTTTCTTTTTTCTTTTTCTTTTTTTAAATTTTCATTTTATCTTTTTAATTCATTTTTTTTCACTTTGTTTTTTTTAGATTGTTTAAATTAATTTTTTCAAAATAACAAATAATTAGTAATTGATTTTTTTGTATTAATTTCTCGATACCTGATAATCATATTAAATTCTAATTAATTCATAATAGAATCACGT